GGGTTTAGGGTTTATAGGAGTTTAGTGATTCGTGGCTTAGGGGTTATAAGGTTTAAGGAAGCAGCAGATCGCAGCCTCGTAGCTGCTTGTCCCGCGGGGTCTTTAAGGCAGTGCGGAGTCACGGCTGGGGAATACGGACTCGTGTCAGCCCTAGATTTCGCGGACGCTTAACCCTAAAGACTCTGGACCAACAAAAACCCTAGCAGAACCCCCCATAGAACTCTCAGAATGTAGAACCCCATGCAACCCTTATAACAAAAGACCTATCAACGAAAAGAACAAGGAGCTGAATTTGAAGCTCTAAACAACCTTCTTGCTTGTCAGGGGATCATGTTGAAGTTCGTGCGCGGGGGGGGGGGGCGGCATTCCGACTCTCATTGTGACAGATGCATCGCCTACCTTAACCTACCATAACCATATAGCTATAACCTATATATAAGTGTTGGTAGGGCCCTACCATGTGGATTTCTAAAACCAAACGTCGTAGGGAACATGGAAACAGGAGGTTCTGGTTGGTTGACGAATGTCGCGGGGGTCGTCGCGGCTAGTGGGCTCAGGGGTTGGGACTTTGGGTTGACGGCTCAGAGACCCTAAACCCTATAAACCCTACATCCCTAAAGTAAAAACCCGAAACCCCTAAATCTAAAACCCTAAACTTCACCCTTTAGCAACAGACTGCACGGTGGCCCTTGCTTAGAATGCTCAGACAGTCATGCTTACACAAGCAGTTTCATCAGAAGTGCTCCGTGAGCCCATGATGTTGAAAGCCTGAACTTGAAGCCTCAGACCCTTGACCCTACATACACACACACACAGCCTGGCCCGATCAAACCTGAAAGCCTCTGAACCCACGGGAAGTGTAAGCGGGCACTGTTTTCAGTGGGGCTGTAGTAAAAAGTTATAAACATACAACTATAGCTTGAACCGCATGCTCTATTCAGGTATGCATAACCAGACTTGCAACGAACTACCCAAAAGCCCTGTCACCCCGGGCCAGCGTTATGGGACCACTTTAGGCACCAAAGAAGAAATCTTGAAAACGCGCTCACAAAACTACCTAGAACCTGAGAAGACCGAACAATCCAGAGCCGGCCTCACGCCACGAGTCCACAGGGCTGCCCTGCCAGTCGGCAACTTCGTTTAGTGTTTGGTTTAAGGGCTAGGGTTCAAGAGTTTAGGGTCCTCAGCTATCGTTCTTTGTGTATAAGTTCTTGGTTGACTACGTGCAGTAGAGAATTACAGGGGAGGGTCCTGGCAAGGCCTCACAAATTCCCTGAAAGCCGTGCCTAGACTGTGTCATGTGCAGTGGGCCTCTTTGGGCGACTTAGGATCCGTGTATTGTGGCGTTGTGGAGGTACCTCGCAAGTGTTGCAAGGGCTTCCTCAATGTCTATCGTGATCTTGACGCTCTGTGCGCTATTGCAACCCGTCCTTCTTTACAGTTCAGGCTCAGAACATCTGAAGTCTAGCGTCGGAAAATGCAGGGGTCTGGTCCGCAAGCGCTCACCCTTGCTTTTCTCACCGTCTTCGTGACGCCCGACCAAGGACCACTACCAGGTTGCCATAGCATCCATTGAGGGACGACCTACGTCTAGTCAAGCAGCGAACATTCTTCCCATTATGTAAAGTCATGTAAGTCTGTGGTTGAACAGCACCCTAGATCCTAAGCCCATACCCCAGATTACAGTATCATCAGAAGTCTCGCTTGGTCACTGAAAGGTTCCCGGGAAGAAAGCGGCCCCAGTTCAGGCGGCCGCAGGCGTGCCATTGGCAGCCAACTTGTCGGAAAGCATCTTGTCCCACGACAGCCTGAGATCACCCTTCAAGGGACTCTTCTAGGACCAGTTCAGTTATCGGAACCCCTGCAGGAACGGTTAGATAGAAGCCCTGTCAAGAACCTGCGAAGAAACGGATGCCGGCAAACCGGGCAATGCCAGGGCTTGCGGCTCCGGGCTTCGGCCGTTTCTGGATTTAGAGCTTTACGGGTTAAAGGTTTTGTAGGGCTTTCGGGTTTCACTTTCTGTGGTGGCTTGTATTGGGAACAGACGGTTCGAGCACCGGAATGAGAAGATCGCCTGCGTAGATTTGCTGTCTTCAAGTTTACAAGTTGCCACAAACAGCTGCCAACGGTGAAAGCCGAACGATCGACATGGATGTTTGGTGTCCAGGTATAGTCTGTGCCAAATTAGGCTACACAGGGAGGGCTTATCTTGTGATGCTATGTAAGCAGCAAACTCAGCAGATTCTTATTGGCCAACTGCTGCGAGTCATCGACCCTAGCACAGACGGTGTAGCTGCCTAAAAGGTCCTCACCCGGCTTTACAGAAACGTGTGGGCTTTATGTTGTATAAGATGATAGGGATTACGATTCATTTTCGGGCTGCAGAAAAGATTTGTGCTTCGGGTGTTAAAGACTATAGGGGGTCTACCAGGCCTTGGGAGGGCCATACCCTGGTCTGGTAGGAAAGTCATAACAACCTTGAGAAGGAAATGAAAGGGTTAAGGACTCCGTAGGTGGATCCCACATCTTTCGGTACTGGGAGTGCATTGGGCACAACCTGGCAGAAGTCATAAGGGAGGTCTCATGCATCCTCCGAGCAGAGCGGCATCTGCTCGTTCAGCTGCGTCATGGTGTGGTGATACTCCTGCGTGCAGTCCCATAGGCCTACCCGCAGCATCTCTACACCCCAAGACTCCACAACACCGCAGACCTACAATAAAAAACTACACCCCTGCACCCTACCACCCTACACCGCTACAGCCGACACCTGTGGATCTTTTCCTAAACCTCGCAGACAAACAAATGCCCCCAACCCTAAACCCCCTCGTCGTCCTCGGCCAGTTTACTTACCTGGTCGTAGAGCTGCATGGCGCTACCGACGGCCACCTGGAGTTAGGTTTAGGGTTTAAGGTTCATAAGGGTTCAAGGTTTGGGGTGGAGTCTTACACGAGCTACATAAGCACACCTACACGTACGCCCGTCGACATGAAGGATCCCAAGAGAGGACCCGTGACATCATTTGAGTAGTATGGCTGAAAAATGACAGGGCTGTCGGAGTTGGTCGGTGTTCACGATGATGTGAAGCTCTGGTGCATGAGCAGCGGCTTACACCGTGTGGGATGTATATAGACTTTGGGGTTTCGGGGTCTGAAGTAGCACACCTTCGGGTCCAGAAATTGTCAGATGCTATTCCGGCTGTTCAGGCTTCCATCAGACGTTTTGCGCAGTGGAAACCCGTTCTTTCAGTGCCGAACGAGCTGCGGCACTTGTTGCTTCTGCACGGCGAAGGCGACCACCATGGCCTTGGTACTTCAGCTGGGTCTGAAGGCTTCCTAACCGTAGCCAACCCTGAATCGGGAAGTTGTCAGCAGTTGATTTCCGTTCAGGATCGCCGATTCAGTTTCCGATGATTGCTCTGACTGGAAGAGTCAATTCGTCTCAGTTTTGTGCAAAACAGGGCTCTACAGGCGATGGGCTTCGGGCTGAAAGTTGAGGGGCTAATGTACTACTGACCCACCTGCATATGGGTAGTTCTCAAACTTAGGGTCCCGTTTTACGTCCCCAAGACCCTTATAAAAAGGACCCTAGAAGGGACCCTAATATTGAAAACCACCCATATCTTAATTGGACCTGGGCCTCAAGTCTGCTACGAAGGAACTACAAAGGAACTCACTCGCTCTCTCTCTCTCTCTCTCTCTCTCTCTCTCTCGCTCCATCTCTCTCTTGCCATGAGAACATACGAATATATGCCGTGGAGTTCATTTGCAACATACATCTTCAACTCCCAAACCCTGGGTGTAATATGGTTTCATCCCAACCGAATCCCTCAGGTCTTGAAAAGATCGGGAACCCAAATTGAACCCTAAACCCCACACCCGAAACCCTAAACCAAATCTAGAACCCAGAGCCACTGGAGCCCCCCTCAGACTTCGAATCTGAAAGGCCCAGCTCCCGAAAGGCTTGCGGTCCGAATGGCCCGGAAGCTCGCGCAGGGAGGGCGTGTTGACCTTAATAGCAATATAGTTGAAATGATTATAGTAATAATACTTGCAATAAATAGTAATAATCATAATACTAGAAATAGTAATAGTACGCGTCATGGAAATTTGAAAATAATAAGTTTCCGAAGGGCGTAGGGCTGTCTATGCATGCTGAAGTTAGATTTCAGAGGCCAGAGGCCACTGATACTCTCAGAACTAGAGCCTCTATGCTCAATTTGAACCAATCTCTTTATTATAGGGACCGTAATAACTATACTTCTAACAAGGAGCCCCCAAAAAAACAACAAAAAAACAAGTATTGGCAATTATTTAAAGAATCCCCAAAACAGTAGTGGTAATGATTTAGGCCCCTAGATTAGCCTTCCCCACGGCTTGGTTGGTGCCATGTTGCATAGCTCTCCAGAGCCTCGACTTCACGAAGCTGCTGAGCAAAGTCCTGCAAGGGGTTTAGGGTTTAGGCTTCGAGGCTTAGGGTTTGACACCTTTTCCGACTGCTTCTCACTGAAGGAGAGGCCAATAGGGCAGGTACTGATGGATTATTCCCATCATCTTTCGTTTTCCACTCCCTGAGTACTTCTTCCACCGGCTTTGCTTTTCTTCGTCTTTCGGTCGGTAGTACATTGGTCATCCGACTCTTCCAAGTGACCCCAACCACACATGCAACCCATTTCATCGACTCCATCATCCACTTCAAAGTGCCTCGCTTGACCACCTTCATCCCCTTCTCCAAGGCCGTGTCTTCCACTGCTACCAACCTTGGTTTTGGATCTTCTGCACCCTCAAGCTCCGTGATGCCTTGCGTGTCCAGCTCTCCCTTGTTGGCCATGTAGGGTTCAAGGTTTGGGGTCAGAGATGAGTTCGTTCCATGCTTTTTTTCTAAGGGAAGGCCGAGGCAAACCCTGAACCCAAAAGGCCCAAACTGCATCGACCCCACATCCCTTAAGCTACAAGATAGACTCGATTCGTGAGGTTCCTGAACTACAGATGTTTACTATAACCTATTCTAAACTTAAGGTCCTGCCATGGGATGCTGCACACTTGAAGCATTGAAGGCCAACCCTAAAACCCTAAAACCCCTGTTGGTCCTAACCCCAAACCCTACAACGCTCCCAAACCAAAAGCGCAATGAAACGATGGAGGGACCACAAATGGTTACCCTAAGCCCTTAAACTTAAACCCTGTTTAACCAAAAGCGCAATGAAACTATGGAGGGACCACAGGGGGATTTTCAACATGGTTACCCTAAGCCCTAAAACTTAAGCCTATTAAACCAAAATAGCAATGAAACCACGGAGGGACCACAGGAGGATTTTCACAATGGTTCATACCACTATATATGCAACCAGGGAAAGCCAGTCCTGGAGTTGATCCGCATGCTGCACGACATAGTTCTTCTTTGTATTTGCATGCCTGGTCAGTGTCGGTTTCCGGTTGAGGTTTTAGGGTTGATACAAAGTGTAAGTTGTACAGTCAGGGTTGAGGCTTTCGGGTATATAGTTTGACTTTTTGGCTTCGGGGTGCCGTATAAGGCCGTTAAGGATCAGCGGACTTCATCAGTAGGACTGCAGTTGAGGTTGAATCCCAAACCCTACCCTCGAAAGTCCAAAACAATAAATCTTTAGGGAGCGACACACCATTCCGACAATCCCAGCATGTTATGTGCAACTGCGTCGTGGAAGATTTCCTGCCATGAGGAAAGCTAGCGTAGCATGCTGCCGTGTTTTGCCGACTTAAGTCCGAAAGTAATGCTTCATAAACGGAAACATCCCAACCGAGATGTATTTCCGAAGTCACCATGCAACGACTCCCGATCCCCAGCCGTAAGGCCAGGAGCGCAACCTCTCAGCACAGGTACAAGACCAGGCTACCCATAGGCTCCATTGTAGTTCAATGTGGGGGTTACCACATAGGATCCTAAATACAAGTCACAAAAAGGAACTACAATGGAACCTATGGGTAGTGCCCTGAGGCCTCCTAGCCTAGCGACCTGCTGTGCGAGACTCGTTCCCTAGAAGTCCAGTTGTCTACCTATCGGACACTATGCTGTTGTCGTACATGTAGGACCCCCACCTACCGCGACTGGGATTCTACGGCCTTGGTCGACAAATCCAAACCATATAAACTAAAAACAACTTTGAACTCCGACGGGCCTAACCCCTACACCCCGTCGCTGAGGTGCAAAAGAATGTGGCTGCCGGAGGCATGCTCCGATTTGAGCCAACTGTCCAAGCTCTCGACACCTCAGAGAATCTGCGTGTCCGTGCTCAGGCTTCAAGGGTGTAGTTCCAGGTCTCAGGCACAGCAGGAGAGAAGTTCGATTCGACAAAATCCATCAATTGCCTGTCTATGCACCTAAGCCTCCATCCTAAATCGAATCGGGGCCGTGTGTTGGAATCATTGCAACACCGGATGCTGCCAGGCGACCTCGCTCCAATTCCTCGAATTGTGCATCGAAGCATCTTGAGCCATGGAGGGTCATGGAGGTACCGACATGGGGGTTTCCGAAAATACGGGGTACCTTATTTTTGGGTCCTTATAATAAGGATCCTACTATTTAGGGTACTATACTAGGGTCCCCTATTTTCGGAAACCCCCACATAGACCGGCGATACGAATGCAAGCAGAACATATGGGTAGTTGTCAAAATTATGGTCCCTTTCGGGGTACCCTAAACCGTATTATAATACGGACCCAAAAAGGGACCATAGACAACCACCCATATAGAATACAGCAGGTTGCAACAGCAAGTCAGTTTATGCCAATCTTCCACACAGCTACAAGCGAACAAGCATGCAAGGGCTTAGGTGCTAAGCCCAAGCCCCCAAATCCTAAACCTGCCCTAGAGCCAAAACGCATTATAAGCACCCTTGATAGAACCCATGAAAGAAAACATGTAAAGCGAATAAAGGCACTTGATAGACACCCTGAGGCAGAGAAATATGAAGCCCAGGCAGCCAGCAACTTCGGATGGCGCTTGAAGATTTCCTGCAAGCGATAGAGGCACAGAGCTCCACTCGCGAAACCCGGAACCACCCAAAAAAGCCCTGAATCCTGTAAAACTCTGGTCGTCCCTTGAACCCTAAGATCTCAACCCTAAGACCTCTAAGCCATAGACAGGAACACTCCACGGCACGGGGATCTTACACCCGAAGCCAAAACCACCAGCCTAAAACACAAACGCTAAAGTAGCAAACCTGAATAACCAAACAAACCTAGTTTGAGCTTGACCATTACAGCATAAGCCCATATATGAAATGGAAACGTACATACTGCCTATGAAATTGCAAACAGACCTCCCAGAACCCTAATTATGAAACAAGGCAGTGAACTAGTCCAACCAGTAAGACCTACATACAGAAAGCATTTCTATATATATAATTACTTATCCATGTATTTGTTTATACAAATGTATAGACAAAACATGTTGATATAGGTCAATCCTAAAAAAACCCTATAATAAATCTTATAAAGCCCTTTTTAAAACCGTATGGCCTCAACCCGGCGCGTGAGCTCTGCCGTCCGGCGCCGCAGGGGCCCCTGGGCTGCGGCGGCTCCCAGACGCGCTTCCTCAGGTTCGTTTATTTGGGGGGTTTCCGAAAATGGGGGACCCTAATATAGTACCCTAAATAGTAGGATCCTTATTATGAGGACCCCAAAATAAGGCACCCCTCATTTTCGGAAACTCCCATTTAGGTTTCCTTTACACAATCTGTGCGAGGGTTACTGTAGGGCGTAGGCTTAGGTAGTGGCTTAGGTCAGGGTCGTTACTCTGGTTGAGCAATCAATGTTTCGAGTCTCGGGGTTTACGCTGTTGGGTAGTCCTGAGTCAAGGAAAATTGCTGGCTCTATAACTCAAGACAAATCTTAGTATTACCAAGCCAATGACGATGAAGAAGGCCCCAAATCTCTCTCGAAGCAACGCCGGCACCCTGATTAAAAATCCACATCCTGCAGAAGCCCTATAGTTGCGCCCTAAGCCACAACCTTGTGCAATGTGGGGTGCCTCAATTTCCGACAGGGGTTCAGAGGAATACGTCCTGATTGCCCAGCGCAAAGCCCCCCACAACAAGTTTATCCGAGCAGCACAGGCCGCTACGCGATCACTCAAGCTTTGGATTTGCACCGACAGGGGCAATGCATTTGCCTCCTCTTCTGCCATGCTCAAGCCCGGCTCAAACTCCAGAAGCCCAGGGAGCCCCAGAATCTACAGGCTCTAAGGGCCGATATTTACTGAATGCCCTATAAGCCCCAAATCCCTAAGCCGTACATTCCAGCCCAAAGCTTGCAAGCCTTAAACAGGCCATTTACATCCTGAGCGCCACGACTCTTTGCACCCAAAGCCTCCGACACTGGCATTAGCAAGGCTTTGTTTTGTTTGGGGGGGTTGTGGGCAAGTAGTCCTCCTAAATACTGCCAGGTTGGGGGTTTACAAAACCCTAAACCTTTTTTTGCTTAAGGAAACTTGTGCAATCGCCTGAACACTCACTGACAACCCCTAAACCCTAAACCCCTAGTTTAGGGATCCTGGCCCTCACATGCCCCAAGAAGTTCTGCCGCAGATCGCTTTCCCAGGCTACAGCAACGGCCAGAGCCAAATCTTGCGACGGTCGAGATTTAAGTGGTGATGTAGGGACCTCAATGGTTATACTACAACGTAACTATATGATGTAGGGACCTTAGTGGTTATACTACAACGTAGCTATATAGGGACTGTAAGGCATAGGTTTAGGCTTTGGGGCGTCAACATTTAGGTTTAGGGCCGGTTTAGGGTCCGTGGTATAGGATTCAAGACAAAGACGGGAGATTGAGGAATTTGAGTGAGGTTGAACAGGTTCCTTGTTTCGGCCGCAACTCCTGCACCGCAGAACCGAACAAGCCTAAACCCAAAAACGCAGCCTCGAGCCACTTAACACCATAAGCTACATAACGGGGATGCACAGTAGACATGCACGACGGTTCTACAGGCAACTAATAATATACAGGACTGCGATGCTGGACTCCAAATATGGGGGTTTCCGAAAACAGGGAACCCTAATGTAGTACCTTTAAGAGTAGGATCCTTATTATAAGGACACCAAGAGAAGGTAAAGAAGGTACCCCTAATTTTCGGAAACTCCCATATGAGCCCTGGTACATGCCAGACCCTAAGTTCGGTACATAACCCGGGTTTTACCCTGAGCCGGAAACTGCAGGCCCCGGTCAGCCGCAAACCTTCAATACTGACCCCGTGCAGGACCCTCGCATAACACCACCAAACCTAGCAACCTGGGGTTAGGGTTTAGGGCTTAGGGCTGCCAGCCCTGCAAACCCTGTGAGCCCAAAACCTGCGAGCTAAACGTCTCCGAGCAAAGGCCTCGAAGGACGTTTCCTCGAGGACCTCCTGTCACGAATGCAACTGCTATGGCATAAAAGTGTGAAATAGCAAAGAGTACCACAATATACGATAAGCTATTTAGGGTTCAGGGTGTATTGTTTCGCTGCTGCTGTTGATGTTGTTGCTGTTGTTTCCGTACTACCTGAGCGCTGAAGTCTTGTGATTGTTTGGGGTGTTCTATGAAGCCAATGAAACTTGATTGAAGATGTAAAGGTCTAGAGTCTAGGGGCTTCAGGATACGGGGTAGAACCTGATGGAGTGTAAGGTCTCCCACGGAAGGAAAATTAAATGTCCCGTGTTGCTGGGAGTGCTTCCCGAGAGGGACGTAGATGTACAATCCCGAAGCCGGAGCAGTATTGAAAGGGACATTGGTCGTTGTGGGGATCCAGAACATCCTTTAGGTGGGTCCTGATGATGCTCGGCTCTTGATCCTTGTTAATGTAGGGGCCTCAATAATTAGAATAGGGTTTTGGGGCCCATTACACTATAGTTATAATGCGGAAACCCCCAAAATGTGATAGGTAACTATTTGGGCCCCTATAGCAATTACGTGCTTGGACGTCGGCCTGCCGAGGATGTTGGAGGGCTTCATGGGCAGCTCTGCAACAGGGGCCCCCCCCCTTCGGATCTGCACCGTCGTATACAGAACAGTGGTTAACATCGTTACGCAGGCGCCGCACAAGCTCATACCAATGCCCACATGACTGTGAATACGACATGAGTCAGAGGTTTATGGCTCAAGGATGAGCACCCGAGGTTCGGACTGGGGTACTAAGTATTTTCGAGTATGGGTATACGATGGTATACGTATATTTATATACATGAACAAGTATACACATGCAGATGTACAGATGTATGTACGTATGCATGCATCAATGCATGTATGTACGTAATTAATCCTGTATGTAGGTAGGTATGTGTTATTGTGCATATATACACATCTGTATATATATATATACACATATGATAATGTATGTGTGTGTGCTCGCGCATCTATATCTGAGGGAGCCTTGCTAATAACCAAAACTGTAATTGCCTACTAAGGCCCCGGAACCTTTAAGTGGCAACAGCTGATCGCGAGAGGACATGTCGGAGGTGGAACTGTATCTTTATCGACTAGAAGAAAGGCATGGAAATGGGACAGCAACGCATACTCAGGAAGAGCAAGGAGATGGCGTGAACAATGGAAGCTCGCAGCCGCTGTACGTGAACAACACTCCACACTATCGCCTTGACAACTGTGCTGATGCCCGTCTGCCCCAACGCAGCAAGCTCAAGGATCCTGAGTAAATGAATTGGGATACTTAGACATGCCATATACGGCACTTCGTAGTGCGAAACCACCCTTTTTCACTTTGAGAGGTACGTACCCAGGATCCTTTGGGGAAGCTGTAACGAAAGAGCTCTTGGCAAGCAAGCCTTGTCTGCGGAGTCCATCATGTCCTGCTGCCGCTTACGACCGGGGGAAGCTCATAAGTGTGGTATGTGTTGTTACAGCACTGCGGACTGCTATCCGCAATAGCTTACTTAAATAAGCTGAGCCTGACTGTTTGCAGTTCCCCGAACGAGCTCCAAGAACCAGAAAACAGTGCTCGAAGAATAAAACAAGTGTTCTTATTTTGCTCCGGACATGCGTGAGACATGAACTTGTGGGTTCCAAGCTCAGCCTTCGCGAAGAAAGAGTCCGCAAACCCAGGCTTGAATAATTTCACGAAGGGCTTGGCGGTTCATTAATGACATTACTGTGAATACCAGGCAAACACTCTAAGCTACTCTAAGCAGTTATTCCGAGCAATCAGGCACTAATATATACAATAACTGTGTACAAGACAGAGCGGGAAGCTCAGCCTTCTGCCTTTCATGGAAGACTTTCATGTGCAAGCGACAGCAGTCAAGGAAATCTTGGTTTAGGGTTTAGGGTTTAGGGTTTAGGGTGCAAGCGACAGCAGTCAAGGAAATCTTGTTTGCCATGTAGCTATCCTGCGGAGGAGGAAAGGATTGGAAGCACCCAATCAAAACCCTTGCGGAACACTTACTTGCACAGCCTTCAAGAAATGTTTCCAAAATGCCATAGCTAAACATACCTTCAAAACTGCGAGGTAGTAGGGAGCCTCCGACAGCCGCCGCGTCCGCCACCACTCAGTGGAGGGAGGCAGCGACCTCTGCCAAATACCCGCGCTCAAATAATAAGAGCGGTGTAGCCACCGGGTTGGCAGGACTTAAAGTGCATGTTAGGGAAGCTTGTACACGATTTATATGGCTGCAAAGGGACACAAGAGGCTGTTGGGAGCAAAAGCGGGCTTCATGACTCGAAGGCTGGAGATCAACACCACTATTAAATTCATGGCGGATTTTTGCATCCACTCTGCGGCTTCTAGAGCTTTTGGCTAAAGGCTTGTGTTTCAGGGCAGGCATTGTCTGATTCCAATGCTTCTGAAATTCTCCGTTACCCTACACTAGACCCTGGCGCTAAGGCTCAAAACTAGCCCCAAACCATAGCGCCAGGTGGTCTTTTTTGGGCCCAAGATCATTCGCCGACCGTGCCGCGTGTTCGGGTCGATCCCCAGGCTGCCTGCATACCTCCCGGGCCTTGACCTCGGCTTCCTCCTTGGTGTCGTAAGTACCAAAGGACAGAGTCTTCTTTTCGACGGCATCGTAGGGCCGAACCCTCCATTTCTGTATGCTGCTGTCAAACGAGACGCCCATCACCATCGATCTGGGGGGTTTGGGCTTTGATGGCTTCAATTTGCCCTGGCACACGAGCTCCTCTCGGTAGGCCTTGGCATCCTGCAGCGCAGCCTGAACGGCTGCCTCCTCACCCAGGCCTTCCTCGAGGAACTTGGAGATTGGAAACGAGCGAGCTGCCTTCTTCCGTCCCGTATAAAAACGGCACGTCCAACCACCGCCATTTGTGCCGTCTCTCCAGGTAATGTGCTGAATGCCACTCTGGCGCTCCACTCTGCCACGCTTGATGGGATGAGCAGCTTGAGTTTGGGCTTCTGCGCTATGCACACGCGAGCTCGATTGCGGCTGTATTTGCAGCAGCAACTCATCGATCATCTGCTTGATTTTCAACCAAGCCTTCCCCGCAGCAGCACCTCGAATCTCCCCAGCCTTGGTCTCGAATTTGATGATCTTCTGCTGCACAAAGTCCAGGACATGCTCTATGGCTTGGCAATCGAATTGGTTCATCTGCCATACATGGAGAGCCTGCAGAAGCAATGACCGAATTCGCTTTTGCAGATCGGCGGCCACATCATGCGACTCTGGGGCAGTTCTGACTTCGCCTATGTCTGTAGCATCAGCATCCTGTAGCCTCGCATGTCTGCGAGGATCTGCAAGACAAGCTGCAGCCATGTTGAGGATATCTGCCAGCTCTTCCTGGCTCAAGCTCCTCCGTGAGCGCCTCGATACCTCCTCGGCTTGCTGCAAGTGCTCGAGCTTCTGCTCGCTGTCCAGAAAGCCCCACTCATTCATCTTTCGAAACAACACGAGGTGTTGATCTGACTGAGCAGTACACGGAGACCCGGCATCTTCCGCTTCACGGACTTGCAAGGCTTCCTCCTGGTCGTCTGCATCAACGACGTCAACATCTGCAGCGACAGCCGCGGCGTCTGCAACTGTTGCGTTGCAGCGGCGTAGCAACTCCCGATAGCTTTTCCGCAGCTGCTTCTGCGCCTTCTCCCAAATGTCATCGGCCGGCCTGGGGAGAGACTGGAGCCGGCGTTTCATCTCACATAGGACTTCGCTCAACCGAGAGGGCAAAAACCCACCATCCATCTTGTCCATGAACCTCCTCAACAGCTGGAACTCTTTTACTGTCGGAATCCGACCCGGAGGGCCGTAGGCGATCCAGGATGCCACGGGGGTTGCAAACTTTCGGAGGGATGACTGGTCCACGAAGTTCGCTTGATGTGAGTACCAGTTGATCCTAAGTTGCTGTTGAGCAATAAAACAACGACGACATTGTCACCAACACCAACACCTCCCACATACATGTACATAGATACAGATGTAGATATAGATAGAGACAGAGAGATAGAAAGATCCAGAGATAGATATACAAGGATACAGAGATAAACGATATCGATATTATATATACATAGAAGTATACAGAAAGAAAGACATAGAGATGTAGATATGAAGGTGTATATATATATATATATAGATATATTGGTATATAGATATAGATGGAGATAGAGATAGAGATAGAGATATGGACAGAGCTATGGACAGAGACTCAGGTGGAGACAGCGATGGAGATGGACATGCAAATGAAGATAGGTATGTAGATGAACAGACAAATAAATGTCCTCAGTTTTTGGGAGTTCAGTAAGCACCCCCGGGCTTTTCTCCTTCTCGATACTGCGTTTCGGGTTTATAGGCCTTAGCGCTAAGAGTCAGATGAAACGCCCAAGAAACAGGAAAATGTCAACACCAAGCGGACCAAGCGTCTGGACCATGTTGGATTGCGTGTTTAGGACTTAGGGAGTTCGAATTTAAGGCTATCAGCAGCCTAGAGGCGGCTTTGTGCTAATCCGACGCGAAACGAAGCCAGACTTCAAGTAGCACCTTGGCTGGGGCACTGCAGAATCTCCCATTCCAGAAGCCAATAATAGCCAAGGTTGCGCTTGTTCCTTAATGCTGCTGTCATGGCCATTGTTACGAAAGCTTTTGCCTTGTACTTCACATGGTGGTGGTGGTGGTGGTGGTGGTGGTGGTGGTGGTGGTGGTGGTGGTGGTGGTGGTCCCTAAACCCTAAACCCTAAACCCTAAACCCTAAACCACCACCACTGGTGGTGGTGGTGGTGGTGCCATGCACCCTCAGCTCGACCACCCCCAACCCCAAACGGTCCCCAAGCAAGCCAGCCCTTGGAGTCCTCGGACACTGTCAAGCCCAACAGCCCAAGCTCCGATAATGTAGGGGCCTATTTTAGGGTTTAGGGTTTAGGGTATCATATAACTACCAATACGATTTTTGTGGGGGGTCCTTATTATCAGAAAAAATAATGGGCCCCAAAACCCTCTTCTAGATATCAAGGCCCTGCATTACTGCTGATGGACAAAGCCTTGCATGATCCATAACCGGGAGGAAACCGTAGTTGACGATACGCAAAGTAGAGCACCCTTGATAGAACCCTACCCTAAACCCTAAACCCTAAACCCTAAACCCTAAACCCTAAACCCTAAACCCTAAACCCTAAACCCTAAACCCTACCCTAAACCCTAAAAACCCTGGAACCAAAACCCCTCCAAAAGGATCTGCATAAGTAAACCCTTTAGGGTTTAGGGTTTAGGGTTCAGTGTTCAGGGTTTAGGGTTTAGGGTTTAGGGTTCAGTGTTCAGGGTTTAGGGTTTACGGTGTAGGTAAACTTACAGCAGATGAAAAGGCGAGTCCGTCGAGCCCCAAACCAACTCCCACACCTAAAGCCCTAGGCTCCTGAGGTAAAGTGCAAGCTGCTCGTGCCAATACTCGTCCCAGACGCCAACCTGACAGGTTCGTAACAGCAACGCCTAGCATCATGGTTTAGGGGTTTAGGGTTTAGGGTTTAGGCCTAGCATCATCTAGGTTTCCCAGTAGCCCCTTAAAGATAAGGGCACCCTTTGTTCCTACTATTTGGTCTTAAGAAGGGAACCCAAAACGGAAAAAAGGGCAAAAGGGTACTAATGGGGAGCCTAGTCAGGGTATAGCATACCCCCAAAACCTTGGGGACCAAATGACCCTTACAAGTAGGGGCCCTGTACCCTTATACTATGAATCCCTATATGGTATATGAACCTGAAAACCTTTCGAGGTTCATTTCGTCCTTAAGGAACCCCTGCAAGTTAATTGCGGTATGGTCTGCCCCCAAACCCCTGGTCTCACTTTTCTTTTCGGAGTCCAGGCCAAAGGCTCTGCCAGGGCCGTATATAGGCTTTAGAAGAGTTCTGGGGTGCGAGGTATAGGGTTTGGGGGTTTGGGGTTTACGGTCTGGGGGTTTAGGGGTTTGGGTTTATATAGGGGTTGAGGCATTTAAGGTTTAGTATTAAAGTTTTGGGCTTGGGCTTCAAGGGTTTAGAGTTCTCGGTTTACAGCTTCAGGTCCAAAGCTAGGTTGGGGGGGGGCAACCCGCAACTCCAAACACAAGAGAATTAGGTACTTCGGACTGTCAGCAACTGTGGATTTTGAGCTTACGGGAACTAGGTTTGGCATTAGGATTCGGGTAGTTCTCTAAATTAGGGTCCCTTTTTTGGTACCCAATATAGTACGGCACCTGTATAAAAGAGACCCTTACAGGAACCCAAATCTAGAGAACTACCCATTCAGGGTTTAGGGTCGTGTGGGCCCAAGGGCTTGGAGTTCAGAACTTTTGGCCAAAAGTCGTGCGGAGGGGTGGCCCTTCGTGCTTGAGGTCCCAGCACCCAGGGTTTAGGGTTTAGGGTTTTAGGGTTTAGGGTTTAGGGTTTAGGACCAGACAAGCCTTTAGGAAGCCTACATCTAGGAAGGACTAGTATTGGTAATCATTCCACCCCGTACACCAAGCCCTACCAAAAGAACCCTGGAGCCTGAAACCCTGAACCCCCAAGACCGCAAACCCCAAAACCCTACAGTCACCGCATAAGCCCACGTACTTCGAAGTCCAAGTCCTATCAAATTATGTATAACCCTGTAAGAACCACATAAAAAGTACCAGGTTAAAACTCCGTACAAAGTACAAAGCCACTGACAAAAAAACAAAAAAGATCCCCTTGGTGGACCTTGCAGTCCTCCCACGACTCGCAGGCGGTGCAACACTGCTCCGCCGTCTCAACGCCTGGTGTTTCTTCGGGTATCACAAACAAGGGTTCAAAAAGGAACCCTAAACCCTAAACCCTAAGCCCTAAACCCTAAACCGGCTTTCTGATGGGATTCTTAAGGATTCTTCAAGGGCTTTACAAGGGTTCTATAAGGGTTCTAAAATAAAGAGGCTCTACAAGGGATCGACAAGGGATCTAGACAGGCTTATACAAGGCTCTACAAGGGATCTATAGGGTTTGTTTCAGGAATCTAGCAGGGCTCCATGAGGGTTCTATATATATATATATATGGGTTGTAACTGGACATCTATAAGGGTAAGGGTAGGTTCGGGGCCGAAGCCTAGTTTGGGGTTTACGTTTGGGGTTTAGGGTTGAGGGCTAACGGTGCACGTACTTTCGGAACCTTAATAATTGAAGCAGCCTTTCGAGTGCTTTGAGCTATGACCGTATAAAGAACCCCAAGCAACAATGCTACTAGAAACCCTAAACAGAAACCCTAAACAGAAACCCTAAACCCTAAGCCTAAACCCTAAACCCTAAACCCAAAGCCCTAGCGCCATTGGGCGCAGTCGCCTTCGGGCTGTCGGGGTCTACGACTTAGGACGCTAAACCCGGCACCCCGAAACCCTAAGCCGCCAACTCAACAGTTGTCTTGCATCCTTAGGGTTCAGGGTTTAGGGTTTAGGGTTTAGGGTTTAGGGATCCTCATAAAGCCTACAAACTCCACTCTTCTCAGAAAAGAGCCGAAATCGGGCTTTTAGAAACCCCTTTAACATGAGGGGCTTTAGGGGTTTAGGGTTTAGGGTTCAGGGATTCTCTTGCCTTCTCCACTCAGTCAGGAATCTTGCGAGCTTTAAGAGCCAAAAAATGGTTTAGGGTTTAGGGTTTAGGGTTTAGGGTTTAGGGTTTTAAGAGCCAAAAAATGGTGCGCAGACCTCGTCAAAGTGCTGACTCGTGCTCCCCCAACTCAGGTCCCGAAGAACATCGCGAGAGGCTGAGCTCTAGACTCTAGACCCTGAACCCTACAACCCTAAACCCTACAACCCGAAAACCCTAAAACTGTAAAAAATTTGTCACTTTACATTACTAAAACCCTGACACCGAACACCCGAAAACCCTAAGACCCTGAAACCCTGAACCCCTAAAGCCCTCAACCCTAAACCCTAAACCCCTAAAGCCCTAAACCCTAAACCCTAAAGCCCTAAAGCCCTAAAGCCCTAAAGCCCTATAGCCCTCAACCCCTAAACCATCCCCATCTCTCTGCGATGCGATGCGCTCGCACGGTGGCGCACGCATGCGACGCGGCGGAGCCAGCCCAAAAGCGACCCGGGCTGAGGTCAAAGGGTGCCCCCCGGCCCGTTGGGTGTAGAAGGTAGGGTTTAGGGTTTAGGGTTTAGGGTTTAGGGCTGAGAAAAAATGTGCTCAAACAGTGTAAGGTTTAGGGTTTATAGGGTTTAGGGTTTGGTGTAAGGTTTAGGGTTTTTGGGGTTTAGGGTTTGGTTTAAGGTTTAGGGTTTATAGGGTCTAGGGCTTGGTTTAAGGTTTAGGGTTGAGGGTATTACTCAAACTTACAGACACCCGTGGGCTTCCAGCTTTCATTCTTTGCTAGAGGTACATTCGCTTGCGGACTTCGCACCTACTGAAGAAGATTACTCAAACTACTGTTGATGATATAAATCCTGCATCACCTTGAGGACCCTAAACTATGGGCAATTATGGTATATTCCTTATTGTGGGCAATGCAGGATTTCTATTACCAGCCGTAGGAGCTGCTGCTTTGGAGTTCGCATGTCGAGGTTGACTTCAACGAGATTCCACCGAAGCGATCTCCACCACTTCACTGCATAATACCAAGAAGCCCCAGCGGTGCAGAGAACCTAACATAGGGGCCTAAACAGTTACCATTTTTTTTTTTTTATCCGGGGCTTCTTATTATGGTTATAGTAGAATATACCCGAAAACCCTATTCTAATTATTACGGCCCCTACATTACCGCTCCACGGTAAAGAACTCTGAGTCCGAATCCCGACCAGCCAGGCCGTATAGGCCCATATTAAACCGTCAACCTAACCCCTACACCCGACTTTAAACAACCAAAACCCAAAACCCATAAACCCTAAAAGCCCTATACCGCCTTTACCCTAAACCCTATAC